ATTACAATTTTGCAGAGTGTAAATTTTTTTTCACCTAGTCTCAGTGAGTATCTCTCTCTCTAGTGAGAAGGTTTCAACCCATCCTTTGCTCTACAACGCGCGCGCACGAGCTCTCCCTCCATTCACCGCGCACAACGGGGCGAACAGTTTTTCGTTTTTCGCGGTAAGAATTTTTTTTTTTCAAAAGTAGGTCGTGTGCAACAGCAAATTGTTTCGTGATGGTACGCAAAAAAATCATGTAATTTGAACTATGTGCACGATACTATTTGTTAATGTGCAGTATTAGGGTTACAGCCCTAATTACATGGTAGTGCACACGCACATTTCAATATGTGAATTGTAAGAACTGATACAACTTCCCTATGAATTGGACGTATGAAAATCTAGTAATTAGGACTTGAGTAAATGTACTTGGTTTGAGAAGCAAGGGAGTAATTGATAGTCTTATATGGATTACTAGAGGAATTGCTACTGTCTGATTTGTATTAATATGATAATTTACTATTACGGTTAAACTCTATAATGAAGATGTTACTGACTAATTCTTTAAGTGATTAAGTAGTTGTAAATTGATCAATCAACTTAATAATATGATTTTTACTTATATTGATGATTTCTATTCTTTTTTTTTTTTTTTTTGTAAGTTTTTGGTTCTAAATTTGTAGTAATTTTTACTGACTTACAATTTTCAACATACCATTGCAATATGTTATGCGTAATATCCAGATCACGGCATTTTTTTTAAACTTTTATTTCAAAATAATTTCATGTCTATACAGTCTACAACTCTTATCAGTACTGAATTAGGCATATCGGTCCTGATGTATATTCAGTGGAAATATAACCCCACATTTTTTGGAATTGCGACTAAATTGTTTGACTAATTTTTTTCTTTTATAATCTAAGAGCAATCAGAAAGGCGGAAAACGTTTAAATTAAAATTTCAACTTGCCGGAAAACTTTGACTATTCTCCCTAAACAACAATAAAAAGAAAAATAACCAAGGATAACAATTGACTAATTCGATAATTCCTTATTTTGGCATGTCTGCGTGTGGGGGATCAAGAATAAAGCGAATTATTATTATGTAAAAAAAAAAATAGAAATTATTAATATCACTACGAAGGATAATACATGTAATTAAGGAGGGAAATTCACATCTAGTAAAAGGTGCTACCTCTATATTCCGCTACTAAACCACCTTCCAAGAACCAGAAAATACAAGATATGACTCCATGAATTCTAGCTTTTGAATTTGGCTTTTGATTGAGTCATTGTCAAGACAGAAATCTTATGACTCTTGTTTTTATAGTTTCGTGAATTTTGCGGTTCCGGCGCTGACATTTCCTTTCCCCCCGCGCCAGGGAGATGAATTTGTGTCATTGCTACAGGAATGCGCTAGTTGGCGAAAAATTCTTACTCTAGCAAATATGCTAACTGCCCTTTAGTCTACAAGTCAGGAATAGCGACTTTACTTTCATAGAACCTCGTTGATGCCATTACAATATCATTAATATTGTGTATAGCTCAATAGGTATGTTTTAAGAACTTATTATATACAACGAACGATCACTTCGGCCATATCCGTCGATGCGTTCTGTATATCCTCTTTTTTTTTTTTGCAATCAATACCACCGTATATTGACGGCTGAGACGAAAAATCTCACAAAAATTATCATTTCTAAATTCCTTTACCGGTGTAGTAACATCCTTCCTTCCTTTATTCCCCACAAACATAAATTAATTCCAAATACCCAGCACTATAAATACAACGCTTATTGTCCAGGTTACTTTTGTAATTTGAAATATTGATATTGGATCAACACACACCTTATATAATTATGAGTTCTATTCATGATCAAGAAAAGAGCCCCGAGCTCATCAAAGATCCAGAAGTTGTTAGTTCTGAAAATTCAATTGCTAAGTATGACGATGTCAGTGATATTGATATTGAAACTCAAGTGCAACAATTAGCTGATGAATTAGGAGTTGACGAAAAGAAATTAATGTGGAAAATCGACCTTTGCGTTGTGCCCCCTTTTTGTTTATTATATTTCCTTTCATTTTTGGATAGAGTTAACATCTCCAATGCTAATATTTATGGATTATCAACAGATTTAGGATTAGTTGGAAATCAATACAATACCGCCTTGGTTGTGTTTTTTGTTCCTTATATCACTTTTGAAGTTTTGGCCAATTATTGTATCAAACATATTAAACCTCATATATGGCTCTCTTGTCTTGTCCTTTCATTTGGGGCTATTTCAATTGGTTTAGGATTTGTTCAAAATTTTGGTGGATTAGTAGCTTGTCGATTTTTAATTGGTATCACCGAAGCTTCTACTTTCCCTTCCATTTTCTATTTATTGTCCACTTATTACTCCAAAGCTGAATCCCAAAGAAGATTCTCCATTTTCTTCAGTACAACAGCTCTTAGTGGTGCTGCATCAGGATCTATTGCTTATAAAATCCATGATTTGAATATGGTTCATGGACTTGAAAGTTGGAGATGGATTTTCATAATTGAAGGTGCCATTACTTGTGGATGTGCAATCTTACTTTTCTTTTTAATTGCTGATTTCCCGGAAGAAGCCAAATTTTTGAAAAAAAATGAAGCTCAATTCTTGAAATCAAAATTGGAAATCTTATCTGGTGTTCCTTCTGGGTTTGAAATCAAAGTTTCTTGGAAAGATGTTGCTAAATGTTTGAAGGATTTGTTGATTTGGGTTCCAAGTTTTATCTATTTTGGTCTTATCATTCCTCTGTACGGTTATGCTTACTTTGCTGCCACCATCATCAACAAGATGGGCTATTCACCAGTCACTTCACAAAGACTTTCTGTTTTCCCATGGGTTTGTGCATTTGTTATTACAAATATTGCAGCATTTTTATCAGACAGATTCAAAAGAAGAATGCCATTTGTCATTGGTTTATGTTGTGTAGCAATTACTGGCTTGCTGATGATTTTGGGTGCTGAGAATGTCACAGTTCGTTATATTGGTTGTTTCTTTACTGCGTCTGGTCTTTACAGTGCCATGCCAATTGTTGTTTGTTGGGCATCTTTGAACTGGTCTTCTCATTCAAGAAAGATGGTTGGTACAGCATGGCAAATCGGTATTGGTAACATGGGTGGATTGATCAGTAGTTTTATTTTCCTCAACAAAGATGCTCCAAGATACATCACTGGTTTATCTGTTTCTATTTCATCAGTTGTTTTTGCAATTATATCTGCATTCGTATATTTCTTTGTTTGTTACAGAATGAACAGAATAAAGAAAACCGAAGCCTACATACAAGAATTTGAATCCATGTCAGAACGTGATCAAATTAATGCTGGTGATAGAAATCCAAAATTTGTTTACTTGTATTAATGTTTTAAGTTTTCATTTTCCTCCAAAAGTAAGAATCCCAAAAAAAAAAAAATTCAACTAATCCAGAATAAAAAGAATTGATTTTTAATTTTTGTTTTATTTTGTTTATGGCTAGCATTTAGTTCTACGATAGTTTTAATAGTTTATTTAATGATGTTTCCTTTATAATGAAGTTTTTCATTTTCCACACCGATATTGTGTACTGTATTGCGTGGGCTTAGTTGAGTATCTTCTTGGCTTTGGTTCTGGCGATGGCCCCAAATTCGTCCTAAGCCTTCGCCTAAAGTTTTTGCGTAATTTGGTACCTGAACGCAACAGCGACCAGAATTTTTTATTTTATTTCCATTTTTTATTTCATTTCATTCTTTTATTATTATTGGTCCCTCTTTTTTTGTTTTTATTTTGTAGATGAAATTTGAGTGCCAGCTGTGTTTCACAAGAAAGGATTGCTGTTGTTGAAGGATCAACATTGCTTCCTAATTTTTTTTATTTTTTAAATTCTAATTTGCTCTTTTATTCGGTTGTTCGGCCTGGTTCTTCTTTCCTTTTTGCAAAGTGGAGAAGTTCGTTTTGTAAAATCGCGACAGTCAGTTTAGTATTGTTTATTTATTTATGTTTCCCCTTTAATGCAATTTAATAAGCGTCGCGTCATAATTGTGAAAGGCGTTCAGATTTGAAACATGCTAGTGTTGACTTCTACTAGATTCAATGAACTGTATTATTCCATTCAGCAGGAACACGCAGTTACTTTTAGAGCACAATGATTATGGGCTAGTTCTGGGTCCGTTGACATTGACGAAGAACACAAGAGAAAGAACAAAAATGAAAGAAGGAAGAAAAAGTCACCTTATTGCGTCAATCTCTGTATCGAATCTAGACTTTTTAAAGTGGATGTACATTCTCCTTTGAAGTATTTTTAACCAAAATGGAAATACAGTATGTATAATTACTCCTAATTTCAGTCTCAAACTTACACTCTTTATAATACCTGATATTTTTTTTCCCTTACTTTTATACTTAACGTGTATTACTGCCATTCTTCTGGTAAAAGTAAATTTTCACCCACATTCGGAGGGTTTTCGTTGTATGATCACAAATTTCACCTTGACGTCAAATAATCAATTCTAGGTTTTTAAAATAAAGATCTAAATTACACAAATGTTATTGAATCTTGTAAGACAATCGAAATTCCTTCTTGTTACATAGAATGATCCTCTCATGGGCCAATCATAGACAGTAGTGTGCAAACCACCTGTATGATGAACAAAAAAACGTCAACAAAAGAATAGAAATAATTGCAAAAAAACTTTCACAAAAGCCTTCATTAGTCTTCGTCTTGCAGCTTCGTTCCTTTTTTTTCAAAAAATAAAAAATAATTATTGAGGTAAGCAAGTGTTCCTTTATTTTTTGTGAAATTCTAGAAATTGCAATTATACTAACTTACTCAGGGTTCCAAAAGAACTATAAATATCGAGGCTTTCCATGCTTCAATTTTCAGGCTCAATTAGTTTTTTTTTTTTTTATTTTATTTTGTACACCTCAATTAAGAATTGTTAATTCGAATCAACAAGACATTCGCTTAAATACTACATTTTGATTCATTTACTTACATTCACTATGCAATACTCCACTTTAGCCATTTTATCTATTGCTGCTTCAGCTGCTCAAGCACTTAGCACTACCACCGTCGAGTCTCAAACCATTGTTACTATTACCTCATGTGGAACTGAAGAAGGTACTAAATGTCCAGCTCCACCATCACCACCAACTACAACTCCATGCGAAAACCCAGCTGCTCCTGGCACCCCAACTCCAGAAGCTCCATGTGAAGGTGCTGACTGTACTCCAGCTGCTCCAGCTGAACCAGAAACCCCAGCTCCAGAAGCTCCAGCTGCACCAGAAACCCCAGCTGCCCCAGCTGAACCAGAAACTCCAGCTCCAGAAGCTCCAGCTGCACCAGAAACCCCAGCTGCCCCAGCTGAACCAGAAGCTCCAGCTCCAGAAGCTCCAGCTGCACCAGAAACCCCAGCCGCTCCAGCTGCTCCTGAATCACCAGCTCCAGAAGCTCCATGTGAAGGTGCTGACTGTACACCAGCTGCCCCAGCTCAACCAGAAACTCCAGCTCCAGAAGCTCCAGCTGCACCAGAAACTACTGTCCCAGAAGCTCCATGTGAAGGTACCGACTGTACTCCAGCTCCAGAAGCTCCAACTGCACCAGAAACTACTGCCCCAGAAGCTCCATGTGAAGGTACCGACTGTACTCCAGCTACTCCAACTACTCTTACTCCAGCTGTTCCACCTGTTGAATCTGCTTCTTCCAATGGCACTCAAACATCTGAAATTCCAACTTTCGAAGGTGCTGCTTCTAGACAATTTGCTACTGGTTCTGTCGCTTTAGTTGTTGCTGCTTTATTAGCTTTGTAAGTCTAATGGCCCCACAACGATTTCTTTTCTTCAGTTCAAAATGATTCCTCTTGCTCGTATAGTTTGAAATACGCATTGTATAGTTAATACCTACATGCAAATCTTTCTTTATTTGAAAACAATTATCAAACTAAGCCATATATTATTAAAACCATATTAAGAGTATATATCAATCTGTAGAGATATTAATTAACTTTTTCTGTCAACAAAGTACTGGGAAATCGAAAACACCAAATTTATGTGTGTAACAAACAGTTGTAATAAAAAAAATAAAAACCCATCAAAAATAATTAAAATAACAAACAAATAAAAACAAAAATTATCACCAATAGTTATCAACCCATCACCAGTTCCTAATTTGTAATGGTACCATTCGTAATATATGGAGGATTAATACCAACTGGAATTTTTGTGTCTTCTTCAGAAGACACAGGAGGAGACCCACCAGCAATTGGCGGTTTGAAATCAACTGGATAATTAGGAATAAAAGTACCATCATAAAATACTCTTATTCTTGGATACGGAGTTTTCACTTCATCGGATCCATTAGTAGAGTTACCACTTGGAAAAAGCGGTCTTAAATTCTTCAACTTCTCTGGATTATTAAACCGGGAATGTTCATCAAGCAAACCATTATTTGGGTGCGATGGCAACGATTCCTTTATTTGTCCGTATCTTTCATTATTCTTTGCACGTTCTCTCAAAAATTGATCTTGGTTGTTTGGAACAGGAATTACCGAAGTCGTTTGATTCAATCTTGCAAATGGAATATACATTGGTTTCCCATATGGCATATTCCCTGTATTTGGAATAACTTGCAATTTACCTTCATCAACCCTCTGTTTCCCTTCATATGGTGTAGTACTTGGTTTCTCTTGAACTTTGTTCAGCTCATCACATTTATCTTCATCTTCACCTTCACCTTCACTATAATAATCTTTCTCTTTTGGAATTTCCAGAGGAATTGGTGTCAAATTTGGACCTTTAATCTTATCAGGAACCACCACTTCATGTGGCTTTTGCTTGACAGGGCCTGAAAAATCTTTAGCACCATCAGTAGTACCACCCGTTTTATCAGAATCAATATTATCAGAATAAGTAGACCCCTTTTGGGACTTTCTTGAATCAACCTCTTCTTGAATTCTTGGAATAGTATCAAGTAATTGGCCAGGTGTTATTGAGCCAGCATTAACCAAGCGAGGCAACAATTCAACAACGAATGATGCCAATCCAGCCCTCGTTTCTGCATTGGTAAGAGTAAATTCAACAACTTCAAAAGCTAAACCATGTCTTCTCAAAGCAATGAAAATATCATCCCACGGAACAACTCTTGCCTTCAATAATCTCGCTGTCACATCTGTCAAACTTCTTCTAACTAAAGGATCAGTCAACGACATTCTAATAATTTCATTAATCAAACCAGAATCCTTCAACAGATTAAACACCTTTAATAACAAATCATCAACCAAATCTCTCTTCACCATACTCACCAATTCATTATCTTCACCTTTCTTAGCAAAGTCATAAAGCACGTTCAATTCTGAGTTTTTAACTTCAACATAGTCGGAATGAAAACTTTTTGTTTTCATTTCATTGTCCCCTTCTTCCAGTTTATCAAACATTCCTTTTAACTTGCCCAACATTTGCTTCTTTTCTTCCATCTTTTCCTTCTTCTTTTGCTTCTTCTTTTCCAACTTTTGCTTCTTTTTCTCCAACATTTCCTTCTTCTTCTCCTTTAATTCTTTCTTCTTTTCCTTCAACTTGTTCAATTTTTCATTATTGTCCCCTTTATTATTACCATCAGAGCCGGACTCGTCTTTATCAATAAAATCATCGTCCTTAAAGCCATCATAACCACCACTTTCACTCCTCTTGGATACAGTTTTCAGCTCATTTTCATCATCAGAAACCATAAAGTTTTCATAAAGCGGTACCATACCCGAACTTTGTAATTGGACTGATTTCTTCATTTCATTCTGAGAACCCGTTTTATCATTTCCTTTATCCAGACTTCCTTCATCCAGTTTTCCCAATTTCTCCTTTATCTTCTTCAATTTCTTTTCCTTCTTTTCTTTCTTCTTCTCCTTCATTGCCTTCTTCTTCTCCTTCAATTTCTTTTTCTTTTCCATTATCTTCTTCTTCTTTTCTTTCAACTTATTCAATTTTTCCTTCTTATTCGAGGAATCATCACCTTTCTCTTTCTTTGTTTCATCACCTTCATCTTCACAATCATCATCAATATAATCAATATCTTTGAATCCATCATATTTTCCATTTTCACCATTATT